GGAGTATCTGTCGAAGATGATGATTGGTAAGCTCGATGATGGAGTGTGCTTGGAAGTAAGGGCGAAGTTTTTGAGCAGACATGACCAATGCAAGAGCCAATTTCTCAATGTTGGAATATCGTGTCTCTGCATCTTGTAAGGCCTTGCTAGCGTAGTAGACAGGCCGTTCGACATTACCATCATTTCGAATGAGAACGGAACTTACTGCTGAAGCCGATACCGACAGATAGATAATGAGAGTGTCACCAACCTCAGGTTTGGAGAGCAAAGGGGCTTTACTCATGTAGTATTTGAGGTTCTTGAATGCCTCATCACATTTATCAGTCCATGTAATGTACTATTTACTTCCCTTAAGTGCTTTGAAGAAATGAGCATATCTGTCTGTGGCCTTAGAGATGAACCTAGTTAAGGCTGCCACCTTGCCAGTAAGGCTCTGGATGTCTTTTGAAGTTACCGGTTCTTTCATGTTAAGGATTGCTTTGATCTTCTCGGGATTAGCCTTAATGCCCCGTTGGCTTATCATGAAGCCTAAGAATTTGCCAGAGCTTACGCCGAAGGCACATTTGTTGGGGTTCAACCTCATTCGATACCTCTTCAGAATGGTGAAAGTTTCAGATAGGTTGGTGATGTGTTGGTCAGCATGTTTGCTCTTGACTAACATATCATCAACGTAAACTTCCATGCTCTTCCCAATTTGTTCAGCGAACATTGAATTGACCAGTCTCTGATAAGTCACTCATGCATTCTTTAGGCCGAATGGCATGACTTTATAGCAATATAGTCCTCTGTTAGTAGTGAAGGCTGTGTGTTCTTGGTCCAGAGGGTCAAGAGGGTTCCTACGTTGGATAATTGACTTCGTGGACGAAGCCTATGCCTTTGAGTTTTTCAACTTCTGCCTTCATTGCCTCGTACCGTTCAGCGTCATAAGATCTTCGCTTCTGTCTCACTAGCTTAGTTTTGGGGTCAATACTTAAGTGATGACAGATTATATCGGGAGAGATGCCTGGCATGTCCTCGTATGACCAGACGAAGACCTCAGTGTTCTCTTGCAAAAAAGAGATCAATGCCAACCGAATGGGTGGTGACAAGGTGGTACTAATCTTCACCATGCGATCCGAATAATCTTTTGAGATAGAGACATTCTCCAACTCTTCAACGGGTTGTCCTTGCTGGGTGAAAGAGTCATCTCGAGGATCGTCAGGTTAACTGTTGCCACCGTGAAGATCCAAGTTGGCTTCGTCTGGGCTGGTCTTTATGACTTGGTCATGTATGGAAATGGTTTCCTTGGGCACATGCAGGTGCTGTTGCTTGATCGAAGTGTTGTAACATGATCGTGCACTAAGTTGATCTCCTCTGATGTAACCATTGCCATAGGGGGTTGGAAATTTCATCAACAACATATGTGTGGATACCATGGCTTTGAGATCATTGATGCCTGTGCGTCCGAAGATGACATTGTATGCCGTTGGGCAATCAACCACCAGGAAGTTAGTGGTAATGGTAGCTGTGTAAGGGCCTGTACCAATGGTGAAAAGTAAGTGTATGCTCCCCAAAGGTTGCACGATATCACCGGAGAAGTTTATCAGAGGGGAAATCGAGCGGTCGAGCAAGTGTTCAGCTATATTAAGTGCCCTGAAAGCTTCAGCAAACATGATATTGACCGCAGCCCCCGTGTCTACCAGGATTCATCATACTTCAAAGTTGGCTATGTGAGCTTCCACGATTATTGGATCGTTGTGAGGGTAGATGATACCTCTTTCTTCCTCAGGGTAGAAACATATTGGATCCCAGTTAGGCTTTTGATACTTACCTCCCCTGATGTCTTCCACATGAAACACTTGGTGGCTAGACTTTAAAGCTCGTTCACTATTTTCATGGCCCTGTTGGAAGATTTAGATATGGGTGTGTCACCACTTATGGAATATATCACATTTACCTGGCATTGGTTACGGTTACCTCTTGGAGGGTGAAGGAGGAATTGATCAATTTTTCCTTCACGTGCCAAAGCTTTAATATGATCACGAAGGGTAATACACTTCTCGCTGTCATGGCCATTATGCTCGTGGTAGCAGCAAAACGTGCCCGTGTTCTTCATGGGCTTGTAATCCAGGTGCCTCGGCTTTGGCTTCGGTATCAAGTGTGCTATGCTGGGGTAAATGGCAATGCATGTGGCGTTTAAAGGTGTATATGCCTCATACCTCGGGGTAGAGGCTGTCCTGACACGTGTTTGACCTACTGTGTTGACTGCCTAGGGTCGGGGATTATCATAGCGATACTCTTTGTTATCACAGTAGTGTCCCTTACACTTTTTACTAAAATGAGACTGGTGAGGATGGAAATCTTTCCTTTTGCCTTGAGATTGATATGTCTGTTGACTTGGCATAGTATTAAGTAAGGCAGGGGGAGGCACCGCTGCCGTTTGGAAGGTCGAGGTCTTCTCATTTGGTTGGATCTGACTTCCATTCCCTACTTGCTGATAAGGGGTGGTTGTGGGGGGTTTCCCTTGATATGTCCTTGCCTCGGCGGAGGCATGGTTGTAAGCCTGTGCCATCACCTCAGAGTAAGTCTTCCAAGTGTTGGCATTGATCATGTACTTGAAGAAACAATCACGTAAGCTTGCCGTGAAGGCCTTGAGGGCGGTCTTGTCATCTGCCTCAGCGCAGCGAGAATACTCATGGCTGAAACGACCAGCATACTCTCGTAGTGACTCGTCCGGTTTCTGGCGAATAGTGTACAAGTCATCTGCAGAATGTAAGCGATCGGTCTGGAAGATATGTTGAGAGATAAACAGTTTCCTTAGTTCCTCAAATGAGTCTACTGTCTCAGGTGGAAGACGGCAATACCAGTTTAGAGCTCCGCCAGAGAGGGTGGAAGGGAAAAGAAGACATCGCTCTTCGTCGGTGTGCATCCGATATGCCATGGTGGACTCAAAGATGTTAAAATGTTCAATTGGGTCATCTCTTAAGAGTTGTAAACCAAGCTTTTGTTTTGTTTTCGCTTGAAGGGGGTGTCAAGTATCCTCTTTGTGAGAGGGCCAGGCCTGGGTTGGTTCCAGTCAGGTATCTCGGCCTGACGTTCGGCCTTCAACTTGTTTACTTCCTCAAGGAGCTGTAGGATAATGGGGTCTTGAGTGGAGTCCTGTACCACTGGGATTTTCTTTCGTAAGTCTCCATCGCCTCTTTGAAGCAGGAAAGTTTGAGCAAGGGCGTGTGATTTTTCCTTAGACTTGCAGTACTGACTTCTAGGGCGAGTCTGTCGGAATACCTCAGAGTCCCATGTACCTTCATGTTCCTTTAGGACATGTCGTTCCTTCCCTAGATTGGCAGCTGGCCTGGGTCGTGGGAGGGGACCGAGTATTTTAGAAACCCTTGGGTCATTGATCTTCGAGCATATGTGGAAGGAATTCTCTCGACGTTGCTTTAGAAAGTCTCGACAGTCACGATAAACGGCTTTCGATCTTTCCAACCCTTCTGCAAGGAGGTGTCTTCCTCCACTTCTCCTGTTTCGGGTCGAAGTAGCTGGGTTGAGAGAAGTCTCATGTTAATCAATGTTTTGATGATTAGCTGCGCTCCTCATCAAGGATACCCATGTCGAAGGAAGATGACCCTCCGTGTTGGGGGGCACCCAGATGATGGTTGATGTCCACAGGGGCAACAAGCTCGCGTGTTTGAGTACGCATAGTTTCGTGGAGCGTCTCAAAGAGCTTCTCATACGGCTCCTGGAGGACCTCATTCTTCATTGCTATTTTGTTGTTTTGAGCTTCTGACTCATCGACTTTAGCTTGAAGAGCAACCCTCTTTCCTGTCTTCTTTTGTTGTTTCGCACTAGGTGCAAGAGAGGTGTCATTCTGTGTGCTGTGGCTTCCTTCGCTCCCCATGTTGGAGAGGGATGCCTGGTCAAAAGAGAGTGTACGAATGGTGGAAACCAGCTTGACAAAGTTGAAGAGAGTGGGAATAAGTGTCGTTTCCCACAGATGGCGCCAAATGTTAATGCACAAAATCAGTGAGGACTTTGGTACAACAGAAAGTGTTAAGTTTGTAACCTTCGCTAGAATGCTTCGGTCACTAGTGTGGATAAGTAAGTAAATGGATAAGGACAGGGAAGCAAACACAAGATGTACGTGGTTCACCCAGATTGGCTATGTCCACGAAGTAGAGGAGTTCTCATTAATTGTGAAGGGTTACATAAGTACATAGGTTCAAGCTCTCCTTTAGTGAGTACTAGTGAATGATGTAGTACAAATGACATTAGGAAATATTGTGAGAAAATAATCTCTATTTATAGAAGAGAGTTTCTAGTTTCATTCTGACATTGACACGTGTCGTGTTGTGATTGACTTCTGATGTTGACACGTGTCGTGCTATGATTGGCTTCTGATGTCGACACGTGTCGCGCTGTGATTGGCCTCCTGGTTGTAGGGAAACTCTTTTGGGTCCTTAATGGTATAACGTTGACCAATACTCAGTAGTTTCGGGATTGGTCAAGTATGGTACAAACAATTTCAATATTATTGAGAGCATATCCCCATGAAAAATAAAAATATTGGAAATCAGTTCCTAATTTCATGTTATATCTTGCAAAAGATTTGTTGTTTTTATTTCTATATTGTTGAGAGCATTCTTCCCATGAAAAATAAAAATACGGGAAATCAGCTCCTAATTTCATGTTATATATATCCACACTGTATGAGAATATCAACTTTTTCAGAACAAGTTATTTAATTACATGTCGAGCTCAATTAATAATTTTAAAAGAAATCATAAACAAACACTTTTTTTCCCCTCAGATTGATCCTTATTTGATTATGTTCCCTATATTTCGTTTGACAAAATAAATAAAAAAAACATATAAAAAGCTAAAAATAATATACGAAGATCAGCTCCAACTCCTAATATTGCAAATATCTTGCAAATTAACATGCATATGGCGCAATATATAATTTGTGGTAGTGGTGCTAGTGGACCCCATGTCACAATGTCATTATCCATTGTAATCATCTAAGAAGTTCATATCTGTACAGAAATTCTTTGTGACTCTCGTCCATGCACTCCACCGCCAACTAGAAGAAGACCCCAAAACTCATAACACCCATTTCACAGTTCATCGATTGCTGCTAACAATCTTGCTTTGCATACTACAATGGCTCTGCAAGTAATTATCTCTCTCATAAGAATAGTTTTAATACCTGCTTAAATATTTAATCACCTCTTTTATTTGAAGAATTATCATTTCTTTATATATTTCAAGTGTTCGTCAATTTTAATTACTCCGTGTGTGAATAATTGAAGCTCGAGGAGGAATTCAAAGAATATGCAGAGAAGGCCAAGTCTTTACCCCCAAGAACAACCGATGCAGATAAACTGATCCTGTACGGCCTTTACAAGCAGGCAACAATTGGTTCGGTTAATACTAGTGAGTGCTTTCAATAATTATATACTTAATTTCTCTAATCTACAAATTTAATTTCACTCCGCCACCACTATTCTATATATTTATATGTATCTTTAACGATCGATGTGCATGCATGCAACAAATATTCATGTTAATTATATATACGTATATATATTATGCAGATCGACCTGGGTTTTTCAGCCCAACAGAGAGGGCCAAATGGGATGCATGGAAAGCTGTTGAAGGTAATAATACCTAGAAATTATTACATTACAAAAACCCTAGTTATATATATGTAAGCATGCATATAAATTTGAAAGTATAAAGAGTGATTTTATACCAAACTGATGAGCTTGCAGACGTTCTCTGATATAAGTGGGTCTAATTAATATGTCGATTTTGTGATTCTAAATAGTCTAACTGAAACATAAGAGAGTACTTTTGCTAAAATGACCCTGACGTATGTGTTACTAATCAGGGAAGAACAAAGAAGAAGCAATGGCTGAATACATCGCAAAGGTGAAGCAGCTGCAACAACAAGAAGTAGCCTCCACATAGATCATACAACATTAATGGAGTTCTATATCTATATCTTAAACATTTCCCAAGTGTTTCAAGAAGAAAACACATACCAGAATGTAATAAACCAATAATTTTCAATTTCCACAGCTTTTGCTTTATAATTAAGTCATGGTGTACTGCGCTTATGAGTAGAAATGTTTTTCAAATAAGAGCTTTAAACAAGCTGTTGTCCATAGATTTGAACTTAAGAATTCTTCAAATAATAGAGATGCAAATCCCATAAACTACGGCTTTGAGGCTCTAATGCCTTGGTTTTTAACTTTAAGGATTGAAAGACAGTTGCATCTGTTGTGAAACGGCATCTGATTGCTAATACATCAAACCTCTTCCTGCATTATTTTCACGCCAATTTCGCAACCTCATAAACACAAAAAAGTTCACCAGAATCAAAGTCCCGGTGTAGGAACGTTGTTTAGAGATAGGTTAAAGAATCAAAGTTCGATGCTTGACTTTGTCATGTTCCCAATGTCTCTTAATTGAAAAGGTTGGCCAATTTATATCAGGCGATTGGAACAAAGATATTCGAGCGTCACTTCATTTCTTGAAATCGAGTTCATATGTGCTCATGCCAAACCGTAATTGTTATACAACGATATATTTACACACTTCTATTTAACAAGATCGTCTCTAAGATCTTGGGGGTTCTGTACGAAATTTGTAAAAGGGACCCTCCATAAGATAGTTTTAAGTTTTAAAAAAAGTATGACAATGTATTGATTATAAAAAACATTCACTTAAATCAAAACAAAGCCACTTAGTACTACGGTCTAGTGATATTCTTCTTAATTTGAAGTGTGAGGTCTTATGTTCAATTATCATCAAATACAAATTTGAACCACATTATTGTTAGCTCATTGTGAGGCTTAGCCCACTCCCCCACCCTCTCAGTGTAGATAATATCGTTTGTTCAAAAAAAAAAAATTTAGCACTCACTGATTGCATATTTACAAGTGTCCTTAATGATAAGTAAAAAAATATACAAATATAACCTTTGCTAAATAATCAAAAGAAATTTTATCTTAAACAACCAAACATGAAAAAAAAAACTTCAAACCTCTAACTTTAAAGTTTTACTTGAATATATAACGTTGTTATATAATAAAATTAAGAAACTTTCGTTTTTAGGGTGTTATTATACACTCAAAATATCTCATTGTACTCCAAATTTTTATATTTGAAGCCCTGTACTATTGCACATTTCGTTCTCCTTCAACGCCCCTCTTGTATTTAAAATATCAATCGGGAAATAATAAACACACCTACTCACCCATCCTGATTAACTGAAAAAGGAAAATTAAAAAGAAAATAAATGGGCCTAATCAGAGCAAATATAGGCCCAATTAAGGATCCTGGACTTTTCAGTAGCTATCCAATTGTCACTGTCATACGCTATATACAACAACAGAAAACCAACCACACACCCACACGTCCCACGCACTCGTTTGATTTTCTCGGCGACAATATGAATCTCACCCTGCGTGCACCCGCTACATTTTTCACCCATTCATTTTCTAGCACTTTCTCACCTTCCAAACACATCCTCCGTTGCTCCAAACCCTCACCCTCCCACCTCACCCCCAAAATCACCATGTCCTCCACCGCCTCCTCCGCCACCCAAACAGTCATCGAGCACATCGTCCTCTTCAAAGTCAAGGACGACACCGACCCAGCCAAGGTCAGCGCGATGGTCAACAACCTCAACGGCCTCACCTCTCTCAACCTCACACTCCACCTCACCGCCTCCCCGATCCTCCGCACCCGATCCTCGCCCTTCGCCTTCACCCACCTCCTCCACAGCCGCTACAGCTCCAAAGACGACCTCAGCGCCTATACTGTGCACCCGGGGCACATGAGCGTGGTGAAAGAATCGGTCCTCCCCGTCTGCGACGACATCATGGCCGTCGACTGGGTCGCCGACGACCTCCAGGGCCCTGCTGTCCCGCCGCCGGGATCTGCAATCCGCCTGACGTTTTTGAAATTGAAGGAGGGTTTGGGGGAGGAGTCGAAATCAGAGATTTTGGGGGTGATTAAAGGGATTAAGGAGAGTTTTGGGGAGATTAATCAGATTAGCGTTGGGGAAAACTTCTCGCCAGGGAGGGCAAAAGGGTATTCGATTGCGTCGCTGGCGGTGCTTCCGGGCGTGAAGGAGCTTGAAGGTTTGGATTCGAAGCAGGAGCTGGCGAAGGCGGAGAAGGACAAGGTCAGGGAGCATTTGGAAAGCGTGATCGTGCTTGATTATGTTGTTGGGTCGCCTCAATCTGCAAGTCTCTGAAGATTTTTGTGCACTGTTCTGTGTACTTTGATGAATCACTCAATAAGCTCTGTGTTGTTTAAGCTGATTAATCACTCAAGATGATTAAGTTTAATGCAAAGGGATGTTTTTGATTTTCATAAGGTTGCGAAAATGCAAGGTTTTGGATTTTTGGCGTTTTGATTCATAGGCTGCCTTCGGAAAATACTTGGAAGTGGTGCTTTCGAAAGAAGCACTTGTCGAGTCCTCCAAATATGCTTCCACGATTCATAAGCATTTTGAAGTTTCTGTCGAATATAATTAAAAATAATTTCGAAACCTTAAACTCACAACCAAATTTATATGTTGGGTTCGGGTTGACATGAAATTAACATCAACACTTTTCTGGCAAGCCCAAACACAGTACAGTTACTAATTATATCATTATTTTCAACATAAACACGACACAATTACTAATCGTACCTTCCTAGAGCCCAGTGAGAGTGCTTGATTCCGGATTAGCGAGTTACACGATTACTTAATTACCAATGAGTTATGTTATGGTATATCATCTTTGGTTTTGCAATTTCTAATGGGTTATGTTATAGTATATCATCGTTGGTTTTGCATCACTACGTGGATTTAAATCCCGTTAATGGCTAATCTAATATCTAATCTAACAAAATCTATCGTTTGATAAAATAAAAAATAAAAAAAGAAACCTGGTATTTTTAAATTTATTATTGTTATTATTATTATTATTATTATTTCATATATTAACTGGTATTAGAGTTTGTTTAATTGGCAACCGATAGGCATGATCAAAACGATTATAGTCAAGTCCGGCCTTGTCGATATGTCATAGCAAATTTTACAAGCTCGAACTGGATGGGTTTCCATACAACAGTGACCAAATGTTGATGGACAAGCCTAGTTGATGGTCTCCAGATGGCTTTGGCTAAAGGCCTTCTCAATTTGGAAGCGGAGGGAAACTCAAAGATACTCATCGATGCTATTAATGGTAGATTTTCAGCTCCGCGACATCTCTTCACTTTGATCTACAAATTTGCATGTAAATTCCTGAGCTCTTTTTTCCTACCACGTGTGTCGCGAAGCAAATTTTATAAAAGATGCGAGGGCGGCTGTAGGACATTCCTACTTGGATCCCTGCTATGTAGTTGAACATTTTGCTTAATAAGGCGAAAGCAGTGATTTTGTGATTATTCAAGCCGCCCTAGAAGATTCTCTTTATAATTTCGTTTCATATAGACCTTGTAACTCTAATAGGCTAGAGTGTCTAGACACAAATTCATCTATTATTTTAACTTCCAAGTAAAATCGAAATTTGAATTTGCTACACAAAAATATTTCTCCTAACAAAAGAAACAAAAATCATGGCAAAACTAATCATGCATGCATGACTTGACAAATTCCCAAGATTCCCATCATACTGTTTGCTCCCTAAATCCGCCATGAGGTCTTGCGGGCAAGTCGGGGATTTACTGCACATACGAGATTGGTGGGTGCGGGCGTGCCACTACTAGATGCCGCTAGTAGACGGGTTTTGAATGATTGAGGTTGCGCCTGAGTTTGACTTCGAATCAAGAGATTGTGCCATTGAGTGGGAGTTGCTCAAATTAAGGTTCTTTGTTTGCCTTGAAAATAAGGACTTTACTTATATGGAGAGATAGAACAATACGTAAATGACAAGGTTGCTTGGAAATATAAATAACAAAGGAAAGTGACTAATATTGCAGATTGCTTGTAATTTATATGACTGGAAATGAGTACATAAAAGCTACAAATGAGATCGATACCGCAAGTGAGCAGCAGAGCTAATAAACTAGATAAAAGAAGGTTTTTGGCAAATCTGGTTTGAGCAGAGTTTGTGCTTTTGTTTGTTTGTTTGAGTGTCCATAATCCTTGTGCATCTACTCCTTTTTATAGAGGTCTGGAGGAAACCCTCCTGCTGAGGTTTTGTACTTGCCCGAAAGAAGCTTGGGCAGCTTGCATTTCCTTACTTGGGTAGCTTGCATTGCTTTTGCCAACTTGCATGTAGAAACAATATTAAAAGGGGAATTTGCATCTCCACCATATGTTTTTAGCACATGTTTTCCCACTTGTAATAAACTAACATTTAAAAGAAGCAAGTTGGCTTCTTTCACATTTTTCTTTGCATCCACACCCGTATGTTGCCTTCCAACCCATTTGCAAGGATGCATGTATCTTGATTAAACAATGCTTGACAAATCTCCACCACCAAAACAAATTGGAAGAACAATATTATAGTGTCCAACCCCTCTACCTGTATCTAAATATCTTTCCAAGTTAGCTTTCTTGCATATTAATCCTCCAAATGCCATATTTTACCCAAATTGCCCAAATAAGTAAAAATAGGTATATTTTGAGTGCAAACACATACCTTGTATTTTACCAATCATGACACTGCACTCACGCCATGTCTTCTCGATCGAGTTTAATCAGACATTCTGTTTTCTATGAAGCGTTTATTCGATATTCCTTTAAGATTTTTTTTAATTAATATTATTAAGGGGAGGGACCAGGGAGATTCAAAATTATTACAATAATTTAGGAGAGGGGAAGTTTAGAATCTAGATGTATAAGTGGAAACTCAACACTTTATCTACTGAAATATTGGACCACATGCAAATATTCCTTAACCATCGAGTTTAATCAAACATGATTTTGTTTGTGTTATCTATTTATAAGAGGGATGTTAACTACCTTCACCCCTTCCCTTTCCCATTCCACTAGTAAAAAAAACACTTTGCGCGACGCAGGTCATTCGTCGCGCAAAGTAAAAAAACGTCGCGCAAAACTTTGCCCAACTCACCTTCGTCGCGCGCAAACCGTCGCGGCAAGGCAGTGACAGAAGGCTTTGCGCGACGCATGTACCCCATCGTCGCGCAAATCCACTTTGCGCGACGTAGGCTACGTCGCGCAAAGCTGTTTTGCGCGACGTAGAATGCGTCACGCAAATCCACTTTGCGCGACGACGGGTTACATGCGTCGCGCAAAGTGGATTTTGCGCGACGTAGGGACTTGCGTCGCGCAAAGTTGTTTTGCACGACGTAGGAACTTCTTCGTCGCGCAAACCTTTTTTTTTTTGCAAAAATTATTTAATTTTTAATAAATATTGTATTTTTTTTTTAGAAGAATAAATATTGTAATTAAATTCTAAACAATAATTAATAAACCAAGAAACAATATTTATTTATAAAATATATGAAAATGTACATACAAGATGTTCGAATATAAAAAATATAAAAAAAAAAACTACAACAAGTAGCCTTCTAATCTTGATGCATCAAGCTACTGGGTATCGACTAAGCGAAGTGGTTGGGAGGTCGAAGGTGGAGCAAGATCAAGTGCTGACATCAAGATTTGGAGGCTGAACATCTGTAAAGCTCGTAAGATCATACTCATCTTCTCGTCCTGGGCCGAAAACTGGGTTGCAATCTCGCCTTCCTGGGCTTCCCAGGCCGAAAACCGGATTTACAATCCAATTCAAAAGAATTGGGGTTTAACTCCATGATGTCCATTTTCACTTTTGGGAAACGACCCACTAACTGAGCAAGCTAATTGAAATCTGAATTCCGATATCAAAAGTCAAACTACAAATACGCAACTGACCATAGAATCCAAGGGAGAAACTGCAGAGAAAGAAATAAAAAGACTTACGTCTATCTCCAGTATTGTAACCCCTAGCTTAACAGATAAATTTTTCTTGAACACATTAAACTTGGGAGCCAAATCCTTTGCAGCAGGGCCACCATCAACACCAACTTATGTCACTTCATACATCCTCCTCTTTACTTAACAAAAACAGAAAATAATATATAATTTATCATTACTGTTTCCTATTCTCTCCACTTGTATTAGTAAAACTCTATCTTTAACCTATCTAGACGCTGATTCATAGAAAAGAAAGATTGACGGATCATCATCTACTTGACAAACTTATGAGTATTAATTCCACACAAAAAAACTGAGCTTACAGTGGCACAGTTAAAATATAGGTCTGGATTGGACTGCATTCTTTCATCCTTTTCCTGATACGCAACATAAAACATTAGAACATCTTCTAACTGACAGAAGATCCATACTTACAAGAAATACAGCACATAGACAACTGACTCTGCGGTAGTTCTTACTTTAAGCACTTGCAGCATTTTGGTATGCCTTCAAAGATTGCAGAAGTGTTACATGCTATACAACTTATCAAGTATAAATCTTACTCAAATCCGAAGAACATAAAACTTTTTGAGAAGGTTGATTATGAGATTTTACACAATGAATTGCCATCCTTGACATCAAGAGTTATGGCTTCCTTGGCATGTTGAATGCTTTCATCAACAAGTTCTGCCTCATTGTCGGTACCTAGAAAAATGATGAAAACTTGGTAAGCATAATGACATAATGACACACACATCATGAAAAACAACAGGAAAAACAAGTTGAGCGACAAAATGGTTGCCTTGAGCCATTTTTCTTTCAAGCATCGAAAGTTGACAAAGTATCTGCCTGTTTGGACCATGCCTCCAAACGCAATGCACATATCAATCATAAAATTTATAGTACAATGAATCGAGAGGTCACTGTAATAAAACTACAAAAATCTAATCAAGAAGAACCTTGCTTAAGGCAAGATTAAAGCAGTTCTTGGCTGAAGATAGATCTCCCTTCTTCTAAGTGCAGTTACCTAAACATAGTCAAGCATCTGCAAGAGATGGATTCAACTTAACCTACATCGCCGTTTATATTTCAGGAAGTGAACTGAAAGCATTACAAACATGCTCAACTACAGGAAGTCACAATGCATTCTTACATCCTTTGAGAGATTATCCTCTGCTTCTTTTCTATAGTTCGGTAAAACATCCAGTATCTTTCCTCTAAGATATTCGTATTTCGCACATTGAGCCGGATGTTTTCTTTGCTCTGGTAAAAGACACAGTGTTTGAAACTTGAACTAATAAGATACAAATACAAGTGCAAAATAATAATAAAGGAATTAGCAGTGACAGCGATTCGAGAACACAATGTAGGCATTATCGTTACAGAAACAACACTTTTATCAGGGGGAGATTTTGAATTCATCAACTTTTTAGTCTATTTCTCAAATTTTAAGCTTCTATGTGTACCAATGTAGTCCAAAATTGGAACTTCAAAGTTGAAACGAGCATATCAACGAAAACCCACAAAAGAGAAAGGCACAAATCGGGTTTATAATAAAAGGGCACTTAGGTCAGCTTCAAATGGAATTAACAGAGATTAAAACGAAATGGGTAAATGGAAAAATTACCAAGAGGAATGGAATCGAGGAGGTTGAGGGCAAGATCGGAATCGATGTTTAATCTGGAGATTTTGTCATCCGGGTCGGCCGAAAAGTAGGTGTCTCGGAGGAGGTAAAGAGCTTCGACAGCTCTTGCGGTTTTGGCCAGTGCGTCGTCTTCCACTGCTCGACTGCTCATCGCTCAGACACAGTCGCACGCAGAGCCAACTGTGTGAACGAGAAAGGACTCTCAACTCCAAGTTGTTCTTAAGAGGAAACCGAAGCAAACGACGTCGTCTGGGTGTGGAGAGGGGAGATTGTGAGCTTGTGCTGTGTGAAAATAAGCAGGAGAAGCACTCGGCTCTAAGCGTGAGCGAGACGGAGTGAGAGAGAGGGCGAGATGAGCAAGAGGGGAGAGAGACCGAGCGAGCCAGAGGGAAGAGAGAGACAGATGGGCGGGTAGCGTCTGGAATCTTTTCCAATTAAGCCCTAAAAAGCGTTTATTTGTTTCAATTATACCGCCAAAATTTTAACAATTGCGCGACGCAGTTATAAATTATGAGGTCGCGCAAAGTGCTTTTGCGCAACGATCACATTCTGTCGTCGCGCAAAGTATATTTCAAAAAAAAAATTTATTATAAAATTTACTAAAAATTAACTTTATTCTCCTTAAACTTTTTTTTTTTTACATAAAACCCACAATAATATATTTTTTTAACAAAATTTAGACCCAAGCTACAATAATAAATTTAAAGCTACTTAATAAATACACATACCATTCAGTTTCTTAAGTGTTATACATACAAAATAAATAAATTTAAATCTACTTAATAAATAAATATATATATATATATATATATATATATATACACCATTGAACTTGATGGGATACGCATTGTACAAAATTAGTTTCAATGATCCAACCGTCAAACTTGTTTATATATACTTCAAGATCACATATGCCAAAAATCACAAAAAACAAACGTTCACAGATCAAGTGACGGGACAAAACTTTTCGACGGTTATAAACAAAAAAATCATGATTTAACGGTTATTTTAACTCTGATTTTGGTGATTTTTTACAGCTACACTTCTGGTTCCTATATGAATGCAAGTAACTAATTCGATCGTCAATTTAAAATATTTACACAAGTGGATACCACAAAATCTTATGTTATACTTGATGAAAGTATAAATAAAATCCAAGTGTTAGGGAATCTATCGTTTTAATGGGATACGCATTGTACGAAACTAGTTTCAACGATCCAACCGTCAAACTTGTTTGCATATGCTTCGAGATCGTATACACCAAAAATGGCAAAAAAAAAAACCTTCAAAGATTAAGTAACAGAACAAAACTTTTCGACGGTTATAAACGAAAAAATCACAATTTAACGGTTTGTTTAACTCCGATTTTGATGAGTTTTTACAACTACACTCCTGGATTCTATATGAATACAAGGAACTGATTCGATCATCAATTTAAAATATTTACACAAGTGGATACCACAAAATTTTATGTTATACTTGATGAAAGTATAAATAAAATCCAAAGTGTTAGGGAATATATCGCTTTAATGGGATACGCATTGTACGAAACTAGTTTCAACGATCCAACCGTCAAACTTGTTTGTATATGAGTCGAGATCGTATACACCAAAAATGGCAAAAAAAAAAAAACCTTCTGAGGTTAAGTAACGGGACAAAACTTTTCGACGGTTATAAACAAAAAAATCACGATTTAACGGTTATTTTAACTCTGATTTTGATGATTTTTTACAGCTACACTTATGGATCCTATATGAATACAAGGAACGGATTTGATCATCAATTCAAAATATTTACACAAGTGGATACCACAAAATCTTATGTTATACTTGATGAAAGTAAGAATAAAATCTAAATGTTAGGGAATCTATCGTTTTAATGAAATACGCATTGTACGAAACTAGTTTCAACGATCCAACCGTCAAACTTGTTTGTATATGCTTCAAGATCTTATACGCCAAAAATGGAAAAAAACAAACCTTCAGAGATCAAGTAACGGGACAAAATTTTTCGACTGTTATAAACAAAAAAATCACGATTTAACGGTTATTTTAACTCCGATTTTGATGATTTTTTACAGCTACACTTATGGATCCTATATGAATACAAGGAACTGATTTGATCGTCAATTCAAAATATTTACACAAGTGGATACCACAAAATCTTATGTTATACTTGATGAAAGTATAAATAAAATCTAAATGTTAGGGAATCTATCGTTTTAATGGGATACGCATTGTACGAAACTAGTTTCAACGATCCAACCGTCAAACTTGTTTGTATATGCTTCAAGATCTTATACGCCAAAAAATGGCAAAAAACAAACCTTCAGAGATCAAGTACCAGGACAAAATGTTTCGACGGTCATAAACGAAAAAATCATAATTTAACGGTTATTTTAACTCCGATTTTAATGATTTTTTACAGCTACACTCTTGGATCCTATATGAATACAAGGAACTAATTCGATCGTCAATTTAAAACATTTACACAAGTGAATACCACAAAAGAAAAAGGCAATGCAAGAACCCCAAAAGAAAAGCAAAAGGAAAAAATAAATAAAACTTTGCGCGACGTATGTACACCTACGTCGCGCAAAGCATCTTCGCGCGACGTAGGTATTCGTCGCGCAAAGATATTTTGCGCGACGCATGTGTACCTACGTCGCGCAAAGTTTTTTTTTTTTTTTTCGTTACACAGTTTTAACTTCTTGTTTACCCCTTCCACTTCTGCCTAAAAATTATTTTTTATTAAGGACCTAAATGATGAGACCACGTGTTCTAAATGGTAAATGGTAGAGACTACACCTAAAATGATTACTAACCACGTAATAGAATAATGGTTTGACAAAGCTGTAAACTGGCAATTTGTAGTTTCCTCCTCCCAATTTGGTGAGAAATGAAATCTATCCATTTTTTAGCACACATCAATCTATCCCTAAATTATATCAAATTAACTGAGCAATTTGCAATTTCTTAGCTTTTGTTTCCCTAAACCTATCAAAATCCTTCATACTCTTAGTCATTCATTCCACTCATTCAATTGTTCAAAACCATAACTCAACTTGTCAAAAATAAGCATTGACAAAGATAATTAAAGAAAAACATAAATACACAAAAAAAAAATTCCAAACATACATGTAATCAATAAATAGTTAATTAATTAATCAAATAAATACAATACCTGAATGTGAAGATGGTGAGGGTTGAGAGAGATGGAGGGTCTGAAAGAGAGAGGTTGAGTGTGAAGAAAAAGGCTCTTGTGTGTGGTTATTTTATAAAAAAAAAAGTCGTCGACTTTGCGCGACGCCACATACGTCGCGCAAAAGCAGCTTCGGCGCCAAAATCTTGGTTGAGATTCTTGGTTTGGCGGAAAAAATCTTGCGCGACGCACAAAACGTCGCGCAAACGGCTTTTGCGCGACGATACTTTGCGCGACAAAGGCTTACGTCGCGCAAATATGTTTTGCGCGACGTAGATGTACCTTCGTCGCGCAAAGATGTTTTGCGTGACGCAAGCCTTTGTCACGCAAAGTGTCGTCGCGCAAAAGCCGTTTGCGCGACGTTTTGTGTTTAGCGTCGCGCAAACATACTTTGCGCGACGAACTTTGCTGCGTCGCGCAAGTTTCCGTCGCGCAAACATGTTTTTGTACTAGTGTTCATTCGATGCCATGTGAATTCCACCATCACTAATTTTTTAGGACTTCCCCATTCATTCGATGCCACGTGAATTCCACCATCACTAATCTTTTAGGACTACAGGTGTATATGAGAAAACAAAATAATCAGTTTTTCAAGACATTAAATACTTAGTTTTTAGTGATGGTGGAGGCCACGTGGCAACGAATGAATAGGCCGCGTTGAATTCTCAAACATTTCATGAGTCTCATCGACAATCTTTGGGTTCCAGGTAGTAGAAGCAAGAGTGGGAGAGAAAGAGAGGAAAGAAAAGAAAGAGAAAGTACAGAGAGCAGGGATGGATGACACCAGTTAAATTGCTGGCAGGTGATGAAGGTTGGTGCACTAGATGGTTAATCGGCATCTCAGATTGATGCTTGTGAGCTTCTGATTATTGTAGTGTGAATTTCTAAAATAATTGGCATTTTAAATCAAAAAGAATAAAATATGCATGTGTTAATTTTTATTTGTGGAACTCCAGGTCAGCATATATTCCAGGTAAACGGAAAAATTTCTCTCATTTCAGACCTTTTAACTCCCCACACTTCTTTAAGGTTATTTCAAACATTTCAACTCCCCTTTTTTAAGGACATAATGGACCACGTTGAATTCTCAAAACTTGCAATTGGTTAAACTCCATGTTAGTGAGCATAATGAACTTTTTTAGTAATCATAAGTTTTTGAAATGAACACGGCATATTTTTTTACTAGCCAAAATTTTTGAGTTCATCCCAAAGAGAAGGAAAGAACTTATGAAAAGTAGGTCAAATGTCCGAAGGCAATTTATTCTTCCACCACGTAGTGTAAAAATATTCTTTTATAAAATGAAAATAATAACTAGTGAAAATAAGGTCAAAAATCCGAAATAACCCTAACACAAATCATATGCCATACATGTGACTTATTCTAGATGGAAAATTTAATGGAGTTAAGGAAAATATGACAAATTAATGATTTGGGAAAATTGATATGGCACTTAAAATATTAATTTATATGACAAATTAAAAAATGTGTATAAGTTTATATGACATTTCAAAAAATTCCCTTATTTTTATTGTTTGGGTTTTCTTATATGTTTAGGGTTTGGGCCAGTCCGTTTAAATTAGGTTTTCGTTTAGAGATTATGGTCAGTTTATTATAAATAGTATACTTGTTATTCAGTTGAGAACAAGTTAGTTAAGATGTAGTATTTCTTTGTTTATGCAGCCTTATTGGCAATTTATTGTAGTTCTTTGTTTAATAAAGTTTACCTCTGATTTTCAAATTTAACAAATTAAATTGTGAGTTATAAGATAAGTCAAATATTTATACCCAACGATATGGATGTCATACTAAAAAAACTTCCATGTGATTTGGATGTTTAACTGATGTTACTTATTTTTCCGTTTTGAATGAATCGATCGAGATCCACATGTCAAATTGTCTAGAACAACGAGTTTCAATTAAATAACCTCGTGCTAAATGTTGAAAGAATTGTAGTTATGATGAAAGAATTACGGCATGAACTACGTAAAATCTTGTCAAACAATAAATAAAGTAAAAGTGAAACCTTCCAAACAACTATTGCCAGTTTATGATGTGTTCGAATTAATAGGTAAATAGGTAAAATATGTTGCTATAAAAATGCTTACAATATAAAGTTGATGAATATATATGTGAATGTCTCATGAATATTGAAGATTCGAATACCAACTAAAGCTTGCAAATACATGTAGGCATTGGATCCTCTTTCTTCTTGGAATTAATACTA